CTCAGGACCTAAAGCATATCCTCTCATTGGAAATCTACATACATTTTTTGGTGATACTAAAGGTTAGTTTGCCTCTTATRTTTATAATACTTACATTCTTGCAAATAGTATTAATTGAATTTATCTTATAATTAGATATAACAAATAAAATTATAAAAATAATGAAAAAATATCCATCACCATGGCGGATTWGGTTAGGGCCAAAATTATATATAGTTTTGAATGATCCGGAACATATTGAAGTAAGATTCATAAACATTTCTATAATTTCTTACGATAAGTTTTTAACAGTAAAATTCTTCTGAAATTTTTCATTTTTATATTTTGAAATTCTTTTTTTTCAGATTATTTCTAAACACTCGAATAGTTTTGAGAAAAGTCCCGCATATAAGTTTATGAAACCTTTTTTTGGCAATGGTTTGATATCTGCTTCAGGTAAACTATAGAATTATACTTTTATCTTTTAATGGAAAGAATTATACTTAAATATATATTACTAAGGAAGAATTCTTTTTAAAAATAACTTAAAATTAATTGCTAATTAGAGACTTTTCTCTTTCTTTTCGTATATGACGTGTACACTAATGCATGAAACATATATGTAAAAGAGTTATTTTTTTCTATATCGAAACTTTTTAATATAAAAATGAAAAATATAATATACTTGATTAAAACATATTTTTTATTTAAAGCATCAATATGGGGCAATCATCGAAAATTGTTAAATCCAGTTTTCAAAAAACAAATTCTTTCTAACCATATGAGAAAGATAATAAAACATTTAAACCGATTAACGAGAATTATTGAAAGTTCTAATGAAACAAACATAGACATATCCCATTACACAAATCTTTTTACTTTGGATACGATATATGGTAAGATTTTGAAATATTTGAAGTTTTGGAAATTTCTTTAAAAACAAAGAAATTAAAAAAAACTTCTTTATTATAAAAAAATTTGTTAATATTTGTTTTCTTTTTTAATTGACAGATACAATTTTTGGCCAGGATTTTAATTTCCAAAATAATCCAGAATGTAGACTTCATGACAATATTTCAGAGTAATAATAATAATAATAATAATAATAATAATAATAATAATAATAATAATAATAATAATAATAATAATAATAATAATATTTTTAAATTTTTAAAAATATCGAGTCTTATGACACATTTTGTTTTCTTTCTTATTTTTATTTTTATTCAGAATTATGGACATAACGTTCCAAAGGATCTTCAAATTCTGGTTGCATCCGGATATTATTTTCTACAATTTATCTATAGGAAAAAGATTTCGGAAAGCTTTAGCACACTTGGATACATTAACCTGGAAGGTATAAATAA